AGCGAGGATGTCCAGGTGTTGTGCTTGGTTCTACCATGACCACAATGCTATTTGCTAGACTTCTTCATGGCTTCACTTGGAACGCCCCACCTGATGAGCCAATTATTGACTTAACTGAGTCTGAGTGTGATACCATGCGTGCCAAGCCATTGTGTGCACTAGCAAAACCCCGATTGTCTTCAAAAGTTTATCAGCAACTTCAAAATTAAAATTCCGTGCAAGTCTGTTAGCATTGTTGGAAATCTAGACGATGCGCTTAATTCAGTCAAAACCAAATTATAGTTTTATGTGTTTTTTAGTCAAATATAAATAAAGCTAAAGTTTAGTATGTATTGTTTGAATAAGTCCTAATGAGGAATCAAATTCTAGATTAGCGAGTTGTCAAATCAATGGTCTGTTATGTACATATTTGGTAAGGTAACATGAATTGAAATAAATATTTTCCTTCATTTAGAGCTTCACATTAGTAACTTATACAAAATTGTAATCTTGTTTCGAGTCCAACTCAATTTTCCTTCATGTACAAATGTGAATCATCATAGACGGAAGTCAAAACATGATAGAACGAATTATGTGAGCAACCAACCATTGTAACTTATCAAATCTGAGTTTGGACTGTGTTATAAATTAACTCACATGATATAGAGAAAAATATACACAGAAAAGAGTTTTTAAATAAAAAAAAAAAAAGGCTGCCAAATGTGAAGAAGGAAGAATGAAAGAATAGGATAGGAAAATGAGTGCGTCTATTGTGTAGAAAGAGAATAGCAAATGAAAGTAACAACAAAGAAACCGATTGTTATGGTAATTATGCTCAGAAGCTCTGATACCACTTTTGTTAGAAGAAATATCTCTGAAACAAAAAAAATATCTCTTGTTAGAAAAAATATTAATATGTCCGGATCGCTGTTAGCAATGTTAGAAATACAAGAATTATGCATTGTTTGAATACCACTTGATGAAACCAACCATCGGAATGAATTTTTAAATTATATGACAAATAATGAAGTATTAGATCAAGCAAAAGAGGCTCAACAATAATGGAGAAAAGAGAAAATTTCAATGGATTTTATAATTCTAGTAATCTATTTTTTCACACTATAAAATTGTATAGAAGAGCTTAATATTTATACGAAACATGTAGAGGATGTCCAAACCCTCCTAATAGAGTTGTTGATGAAGTAGGATACCAAAAAATCGAGTGCAAAACAAATTCCAAACTAATTCTTCTTGACGTATACTTCAATTAGAATTTTTCAATTACTTTAACAAAAAATTCGGATCCCACCCAAATTCTAACGACGATCATGTGTGAAACGTTCTTTGAGTGTTCTAATTTATGTAGGGATAAGTTGATAGCTAGAAACTCTTTTATTATGAGGTTTATT